GGAAATCACGCCACCGTACGTTTTCAGGGGTGTTGCAGTCAGATATCGAGGGTTTCTCTGCACTTGTGGGAAACCTCAAAGTGACTGAAAGCAGCCAAGGCGTCGTCAAAGGCCTGCGAAGCAAGCACGCTGTGTTAATGTCAAGATGTGCAGAGGGAATCACTCGCCGAGCTAGACCACGGCTACAAAATATGTAGGGAAATCACGCCACCGTACCTTTTCAGGGGTGTTGCAGTCAGATGTCGAGGGTTTCTCTGCACTTGTGGGAAACCTCAAAGTGACTGCAAGCAGCCAAGGCGACGTCAAAGGCCTGCGAAGCAAGCACGCTGTGTTAATGTCAAGATGTGCAGAGGGAATCACTCGCCGAGCTAGGCCACGGCTACCAAATATGTAGGGAAATCACGCCACCGTACCTTTTCAGGGGTGTTGCAGTCAGATGTCGAGGGTTTCTCTGCACTTGTGGGAAACCTCAAAGTGACTGCAAGCAGCCAAGGCGTCGTCAAAGGCCTGCGAAGCAAGCACGCTGTGTTAATGTCAAGATGTGCAGAGCGAATCACTCGCCGAGCTAGGCCACAGCTACAAAATATGTAGGGAAATCATGCCACCGCACCTTTTCAGGGGTGTTGCAGTCAGATGTCGAGGGTTTCTCTGCACTTGTGGGAAACCTCAAAGTGACTGCAAGCAGCCAAGGCGTCGTCAAATGCCCTGCGAAGCGAGCACGGTGTGTTAATGTCAAGATGTGCAGAGCGAATCACTCGCCGAGCTAGGCCACGGCTACAAAATATGTAGGGAAATCACGCCACCGTACCTTTTCAGGGGTGTTGCAGTCAGATGTCGAGGGTTTCTCTGCACTTGTGGGAAACCTCAAAGTGACTGCAAAGAGCCAAGGCGTCGTCAAATGCCTGCGAAGCAAGCACGCTGTGTTAATGTCAAGATGTGCAGAGCGAGTCACTCGCCGAGCTAGGCCACGGCTACAAAATATGTAAGGAAATCACGCCACCGTACCTTTTCAGGGGTGTTGCAGTCAGATGTCGAGGGTTTCTCTGCACTTGTGGGAAACCTCAAAGTGACTGCAAGCAGCCAAGGCGTCGTCAAATGCCTGCGAAGCAAGCACGCTGTGTTAATGTCAAGATGTGCAGAGCGAATCACTCGCCGAGCTAGGCCACGGCTACAAAATATGTAAGGAAATCACGCCACCGTACCTTTTCAGGGGTGTTGCAGTCAGACGTCGAGGGTTTCTCTGCACTTGTGGGAAACCTCAAAGTGACTGCAAGCAGCCAAGGCGTCGTCAAATGCCTGCGAAGCAAGCACGCTGTGTTAATGTCAAGATGTGCAGAGCGAATCACTCACCGAGCTAGGCCACGGCTACAAAATATGTAGGGAAATCACGCCATTGTACCTTTTCAGGGGTGTTGCAGTCAGATGTCGAGGGTTTCTCTGCACTTGTGGGAAACCTCAAAGTGACTGCAAGCAGCCAAGGCGTCGTCAAATGCCTGCGAAGCAAGCACGCTGTGTTAATGTCAAGATGTGCAGAGCGAATCACTCGCCGAGCTAGGCCACGGCTACAAAACATGTAGGGAAATCACGCCACCGTACCTTTTCAGGGGTGTTGCAGTCAGATGTCGAGGGTTTCTCTGCACTTGTGGGAAACCTCAAAGTGACTGCAAGCAGCCAAGGCGTCGTCAAATGCCTGCGAAGCAAGCACGATGTGTTAATGTCCAGATGTGCAGAGCGAATCACTCGCCGAGCTAGGCCACGGCTACCAAATATGTAGGGAAATCACGCCACCGTACCTTTTCAGGGGTGTTGCAGTCAGATGTCGAGGGTTTCTCTGCACTTGTGGGAAACCTCAAAGTGACTGCAAGCAGCCAAGGCGTCGTCAAAGGCCTGCGAAGCAAGCACGTTGTGTTAATGTCAAGATGTGCAGAGCGAATCACTCTAAGAGCTAGGCCACGGCTACAAAATATGTAAGGAAATCACGCCACCGTACCTTTTCAGGGGTGTTGCAGTCAGATGTCGAGGGTTTCTCTGCACTTGTGGGAAACCTCAAAGTGACTGCAAGCGGCCAAGGCGTCGTCAAAGGCCTGCGAAGCAAGCACGCTGTGTTAATGTCAAGATGTGCAGAGGGAATCACTCGCCGAGCTAGGCCACGGCTACAAAATATGTAGGGAAATCACGCCACCGTACCTTTTCAGGGGTGTTGCAGTCAGATGTCGAGGGTTTCTCTGCACTTGTGGGAAACCTCAAAGTGACTGCAAGCAGCCAAGGCGTCGTCAAAGGCCTGCGAAGCAAGCACGCTGTGTTAATGTCAAGATGTGCAGAGGGAATCACTCGCCGAGCTAGGCCACGGCTACAAAATATGTAGGGAAATCACGCCACCGTACCTTTTCAGGGGTGTTGCAGTCAGATGTCGAGGGTTTCTCTGCACTTGTGGGAAACCTCAAAGTGACTGCAAGCAGCCAAGGCGTCGTCAAAGGCCTGCGAAGCAAGCACGCTGTGTTAATGTCAAGATGTGCAGAGCGAATCACTCGCCGAGCTAGGCCACGGCTACAAAATATGTAGGGAAATCACGCCACCGTACCTTTTCAGGGGTGTTGCAGTCAGATGTCGAGGGTTTCTCTGCACTTGTGGGAAACCTCAAAGTGACTGCAAGCAGCCAAGGCGTCGTCAAAGGCCTGCGAAGCAAGCACGCTGTGTTAATGTCAAGATATGCAGAGGGAATCACTCGCCGAGCTAGGCCACGGCTACCAAATATGTAGGGAAATCACGCCACCGTACCTTTTCAGGGCTGTTGCAGTCAGATGTCGAGGGTTTCTCTGCACTTGTGGGAAACCTCAAAGTGACTGCAAGCAGCCAAGGCGTCGTCAAAGGCCTGCGAAGCAAGCACGTTGTGTTAATGTCAAGATGTGCAGAGCGAATCGCTCTAAGAGCTAGGCCACGGCTACAAAATATGTAAGGAAATCACGCCACCGTACCTTTTCAGGGGTGTTGCAGTCAGATGTCGAGGGTTTCTCTGCACTTGTGGGAAACCTCAAAGTGACTGCAAGCGGCCAAGGCGTCGTCAAAGGCCTGCGAAGCAAGCACGCTGTGTTAATGTCAAGATGTGCAGAGGGAATCACTCGCCGAGCTAGGCCACGGCTACAAAATATGTAGGGAAATCACGCCACCGTACCTTTTCAGGGGTGTTGCAGTCAGATGTCGAGGGTTTCTCTGCACTTGTGGGAAACCTCAAAGTGACTGCAAGCAGCCAAGGCGTCGTCAAAGGCCTGCGAAGCAAGCACGCTGTGTTAATGTCAAGATGTGCAGAGGGAATCACTCGCCGAGCTAGGCCACGGCTACAAAATATGTAGAGAAATCACGCCACCGTACCTTTTCAGGGGTGTTGCAGTCAGATGTCGAGGGTTTCTCCGCACTTGAGGGAAACCTCAAAGTGACTGCAAGCAGCCAAGGCGTCGTCAAAGGCCTGCGAAGCAAGCACGCTGTGTTAATGTCAAGATGTGCAGAGCGAATCACTCGCCGAGCTAGGCCACGGCTACAAAATATGTACGGAAATCACGCCATTTTACCTTTTCAGGGGTGTTGCAGTCAGATGTCGAGGGTTTCTCTGCACTTGTGGGAAACCTCAAAGTGACTGCAAGCAGCCAAGGCGTCGTCAAGTGCCTGCGAAGCAAGCACGCTGTGTTAATGTCAAGATGTGCAGAGCGAATCACTCGCCGAGCTAGGCCACGACTACAAAATATGTAGGGAAATCACGCCACCGTACCTTTTCAGGGGTGTTGCAGTCATATGTCGAGGGTTTCTCTGCACTTGTGGGAAACCTCAAAGTGACTGCAAGGAGCCAAGGCGTCGTCAAAGGCCTGCGAAGCAAGCACGCTGTGTTAATGTCAAGATGTGCAGAGCGAATCACTCGCCGAGCTAGGCCACGGCTACAAAATATGTAAGGAAATCACGCCACCGTACCTTTTCAGGGGTGTTGCAGTCAGATGTCGAGGGTTTCTCTGCACTTGTGGGAAACCTCAAAGTGACTGCAAGCAGCCAAGGCGTCGTCAAAGGCCTGCGAAGCAAGCACGCTGTGTTAATGTCAAGATGTGCAGAGCGAATCACTCGCCGAGCTAGGCCACGGCTACAAAATATGTAAGGAAATCACGCCACCGTACCTTTTCAGGGGTGTTGCAGTCAGATGTCGAGGGTTTCTCTGCACTTGTGGGAAACCTCAAAGTGACTGCAAGCAGCCAAGGCATCGTCAAATGCCTGCGAAGCAAGCACGCTGTGTTAATGTCAAGATGTGCAGAGGGAATCACTCGCCGAGCTAGGCCACGGCTACAAAATATGTAGGGAAATCACGCCACCGTACCTTTTCAGGGGTGTTGCAGTCAGATGTCGAGGGTTTCTCTGCACTTGTGGGAAACCTCAAAGTGACTGCAAGCAGCCAAGGCGTCGTCAAAGGCCTGCGAAGCAAGCACGCTGTGTTAATGTCAAGATGTGCAGAGGGAATCACTCGCCGAGCTAGGCCACGGCTACAAAATATGTAGGGAAATCACGCCACCGTACCTTTTCAGGGGTGTTGCAGTCAGATGTCGAGGGTTTCTCTGCACTTGTGGGAAACCTCAAAGTGACTGCAAGCAGCCAAGGCGTCGTCAAAGGCCTGCGAAGCAAGCACGCTGTGTTAATGTCAAGATGTGCAGAGGGAATCACTCGCCGAGCTAGGCCACGGCTACAAAATATGTAGGGAAATCACGCCACCGTACCTTTTCAGGGGTGTTGCAGTCAGATGTCGAGGGTTTCTCTGCACTTGTGGGAAACCTCAAAGTGACTGCAAGCAGCCAAGGCGTCGTCAAAGGCCTGCGAAGCAAGCACGCTGTGTTAATGTCAAGATGTGCAGAGCGAATCACTCGCCGAGCTAGGCCACGGCTACAAAATATGTAGGGAAATCACGCCACCGCACCTTTTCAGGGGTGTTGCAGTCAGATGTCGAGGGTTTCTCTGCACTTGTGGGAAACCTCAAAGTGACTGCAAACAGCCAAGGCGTCGTCAAATGCCTGCGAAGCAAGCACGCTGTGTTAATGTCAAGATGTGCAGAGCGAATCACTCGCCGAGCTAGGCCACGGCTACAAAATATGTAGGGAAATCACGCCACCGTACCTCTTCAGGGGTGTTGCAGTCAGATGTCGAGGGTTTCTCGGCACTTGCAGGAAACCTCGAAGTGATTGCAAGCAGCCCGGGGGTCGTCAAATGCCTGCGAATCAAGCACGCTGTGTTCATATCAAGACGTGCAAAGCAAACCACTCGCTGAACTAGGCCATAACCACATAATATCCAGGGAAATCATGCCACCGTACCTTTTCAGTTGATATGAGGGGATGTATCAGATGCAGTTGGTGTGTCGTGGAGGCTCACGTGCCACACACGGAAAAAGGTCCAGTGGAGCCGCGCAGCCTGAAACGCAGAAATGGGGCATGCAGTTAGCGCCATGTGCAGAAGATAAAAACGAAACGGTACGAGAACACCACATAAGCCTTTGAGACTCACCTGTTCACGCAGATGATGAGTGCAGAATAGGAAAGCAGGCATGGCCAGAATCGCAAGGGTACAGGAAACATTTAGCTTTGATGTCCTGAAGCTTCCACACTGAACATCTAGGTGACAGACAGCTCACCGCTGTCACTCCAAGCAAACTTGATTTGCAAGGGAAGGTGTATAGGTCGGCTGCAGAACCAAATAACCTGCCAACAATGTAAATGACCCCCTCATAACTTAAGATGTTGTCGATGATCGCTGACGTGTTGTTTGAGAGCAATACACAGTTGTCTCCTTGCACCCTCCTCAGAGAATGGTCTCGGTGAAAGACTTCCTGGAATTGTCTTGCATCTTCAAATGCTGATGGGACCGGTCCCTCACAATGTTCCCCACGGAGCTCGCCATCTTTGTTCCTTCTCGTCGTTCCTGCACTTGACAGCTCAGCCATCCTTTTGAAGACTTGTGCCAGCGGCCTGTTTCCTGAACGGAGTTTCTTTTTGATAATTCCCAAATAATTTTCAAAAGGGAAACTTGAGAACGAGTCGAGGCACCCAAGCCTGCGAACATCTTCGGCTAGGTGAACCAGGCCATGCACATTATAGACGTCCACAGTTTCCCCGTAGAGTGCAGGTGAAGAGGCCTTCTCAGCAAAGTAGTTTAGAAGCTGGTCAGCATATGTAACAAGCTCAGCAGAACAATCTTTCATGCAGAGGAGCCTTATGGCGACGTGAAGTGCCATAAAGTGCTGGAACGATTCTTTAGTCAGGATGCCCTTCAGGACTACAGGGCAAGCGTACAGAAGAAATAGGCGTGACTCTGTCGCCTTCCAGCGGTCCCTTACTTGTAGCGTCCTCAGCTTTCTGCTGAAGTCTGATGGCGTGTGTGGACGGAGCATGCTGATTCTGCCGCTGATGATATCTAACTGGGAGGCAGATCGTCGAACAGTAAATGGCCCCGTGGCCCAGTATTTTATGAACTTCCTGACGACTCCAAGAAGAACCACGTGCATATAGTCAATTGGGAAGCAGGAGATCATGCCGATTCCCAAGCTGGAGAAAGGGGATACACCAGTGTGGTGCTCCTCTTGTTTCACTGCAGAAAATGAGTCGTCAGTCCTGAGTTCAGCCTTGGTTTCAGGAAATGTCATTTGGTGCTTCCATACACCGTACTGGACACACTTGTCACAGCCGTAGTGAGCGGTGTGGCCCTTAGTACAATTTACAAACACCCTCGCGGGGTAATCGCACACTACAGCGCGTATGGCAACATGCCACTTCTTCCCTAGGCATTCTACGCCTTCTTGTTGCGCTTGGTTCAGCTCTTTGACAAATTCTTCGAGGTACTCTTGTACGTTCGCTGGTTTCTTTGTCCAGCTGAACACCCCAACAGGAAATGGACCTTGATCTCTCGTTTCTGAAACCATAGCCAGTATTGGCCAGAATTGCTGGCTGGAGTTGTCGAAAAGCGGTAACCCATCAACGTTCACCGTCAGGTGGAGCGTGTCCGCGTTTGGGATCACCAATCCAGAAGAGAGACACTTGATAAGGCCAGCCTTTAATCCAAAGTGCACGTACTCCCCCTTTGAAAGCTGGCGAATGGGGCATTGCCTGGGCGTCTCTAGCAGCGTCCTTGCATCCGCCGGCAGACTTGGATCCTCGTCTTTCAGAACGAACAACAAGTCGTTCACAGCGGCGTGGGTCACATTATGCCTGCCAACCCACCCTCGCAGTCTTTCTTGCAAGGACGGTCGCGATGCGGAGTCAATGGTTGCCTCATCCTCCGTGTCGTCCAATGTGTCATCCGCAAAAGCGCTCTGTCTCACAAATGGTGAGCCTTCCGCGCGCGGCTGCGGGTCTCCTTGAAGGAACGACGGCGTACTTCGCGATGCACCATCACCTGTAGGCGACCCCAGGGGTGGGGCACTCTCACAGCAGCCATTGCCGGGAGAATGGAGTTCATGAGATTCAACACTGCTATAGTCCAGTGAGCGTCTTTCGATATCCCTCGTTTGATTGAGAGCACGCTCCCTAACCCATCTCAGTTGACGTCGTCTCTCATTACGACTCCCGCAGGCTCGTAACATGACGCCAGTTAGTCAATAATCGAAGTAAAATAAATTAACTATCTAAAACGGCTGCGGGACTCTGTGTGAACCACGGCGACACAAGATACACGCAGTTCATGTCACTGATCAGTGATTCCCGTCGTCGACACGTGCGGAGGAAAGCAAGAACACAAGAACTCGGACCGGATTGGATTGGAATGATGCCACAGTGTCTGTTGCCTTTATCCGGTTTTGTGCCACTAAAGGGTTACTTATTTACGTGTTAGATTTCCAGACATTTTGTTTTAGTTGGGGAAGACCACTAAAATTAAGGAACTGCGAAAAACTCTAGCCTCACTTTATGACGTTGGCACTATTTTAGTAGTAGCGGTCCGGAATAGTTCTCCGCACAGCCTTTTCCCGAGGAGTACGATCCGTAGTCACTCGTAACATTTCAGTTTCGTTATCAACGTTCCCGCGAGTGCACGTGGGGGAGTGTAGGAGTTTCGGGGTTTTTCTCTTTCGATTGCTGGGTGGGCTCTCTTGCTGTACTTGCTTTCGTTCCTCTCGTCATGACCGACTCGCCCGAACATATTGCGGCGATGTCATCGTTGCAGTTAATTTTATGAGGTCTAATAAAACGCGGTGACAGCTAAATCAGCGACAATGACGAACACCTAGCTGTAGATGAAAAATTTAGCCAGTGCAGTACAAGCTGCTAGCCTGGGGTCTTTAGCGTGCAGTACAGTGATACACGACCGCACGCCGGTATGATGCTCATCCAGATCGAAACGGGCAGGGGTGAGGATTGAACCCAGGATTCCTGCAGGTTCTGCAGCGCGAGCCTTCGCTAAACTCGATCCGAGCTGGTGTGTGCTAGCCCTGGCCACCCATCCCCCCTCTCTTGTCTTAAAAAGGAGTGGCGGGTGCTTTAATTATAATTTTTTTATGTTTATCGTATTCCCCGAAGGTCATCCTAGTGAATACTTTCCCTTCCCGGTTTTTAGTATCAGTATCCAGTAGCACCAAAACCCTTGTGCATCGGACAGTCGCGCCCAAAGGAACGTCGCGGGCGCGTTTTAAAATAAAATATTGTTGTCGATATGACGTGGATAAAACAAAAGAAACACAGAAACAAAATAGAAAAGAACTCCAAAAGTTTGTATCCACCATTTAGTCCTTACTTCCAGATGGCCTGACCTGGCTTGGCTTCCAAGCAAGCTTCCGAGTGACTCTTTTTGTCCGCCTTGGCCACTCACACTAATCAGTATCACCAGATACCACAGCCGCTACAACCCCTACATACCCTGTCAAGTAACAATGCCGAGATAAAATGATGCACGGACCCCGATTAAAAAGTTCTGCAGGTGGGCGGGCTGTGTGTTGTCCAGCCCGGCAACACTTTTCCCACCTTTTATGACGCTTCGATTGTAGTTGTCCGCTAGGTGACGCGAAATACCTCCCATTGCAAATAGTAAACGTATTGTGTTACTACCTGTTTACTACCCACCTATCCACCCGATCGTGCCAGTCGCACCAACGCCGGCAACCCGTCTTCACCGGTAGCACCAGTCCTAGGCCTACATTGTCGCCTTGTTGTTTTGTACCAGTCGCACTGGTGCCGGACTCGTATATTCATCAGGCCTAGTTGATCGTCATGAACACGCTGAACAAGGAGTAAGTTCATTTTCTATTATTCCGTTTTTACTACACCTTGTTGCAAAGTGATTGAAACGCAGTGGGCATAGGGTTAGTAATGCATGCGCTACTGGATCCGGGCATTTCATAAAGAGTAAAGCTATACGCACTCCGGAGTGCGCTTCGGACGGAAATGGCTATAGACCTTTTCCACAAGGGCGCCGCCATCTTGAATTGACGTCACTTCCAGTATGGGCGAAAACGTAACTTTGCCGTGGCCACGCCAATAGAAGACATTTAGGATATAAGCCAAACCGTCACACATTCTCGTTTTGGCTCGCCTCTATTTTTTTTACTAGTTACAGGTTGAAACGTTTTACTTTTTTTTCGTCGCCCATACTGGAAGTGACGACAATTCAAGATGGCGGCGCCCTTGTGGAAAAGGTCTATACGCACTCCGCTTTTCTCGTATAGACCTTTCCAGCGGCAGTCTCGAACGAAGCGATTTACAGCGCGTGTCCCTGGTTTTGAGAGTGTATGTCAGTGTTGCCCGACTGCGCTGAGCTGTGGAGTTTCTCGTCAGTAGGCTCTGGCAGCCTGCGTTGGGCGCAATTCCGGACGCTGGTGGCGGCTGAATTGCCGCGTTTTCTTTTTTATCTTGTGTTATGTTGCGAGCATAACTTATAGAGGTCTTTAAGAAAGCAGTGCTATATTTTTGGGAACAAAAACAAAGAAATGAAAGCTGTTTTGGTGAGTCCGTGCGCGACAGAACAAATGCAACTGGAATCTTTGTTTCATTTTATGTTCATTGTTTTACGGCACCGTAAACTCAGCCGTGTCAATCTATAAATGTCAAAATATTTGACCACACAGGATATCCGTACTGCATGGATATTCCCCGCCCACAACATAAAATCCAATGAGTCTCATCAATCGAACAAAAAATATATTGTACGTACCCCTCGGTGCCGCGTTATCCGAACAGGATTTGAGAAAGGTCTCAAATAACACAGCAAGTCCAATATACAGTGTCGACGATAGTCACTTCACGACGATCGGACGGAGTCCGGCGTGTTTTGGGAAACATGCTCCTTTTTTGCACAACTTCATAGCAAATGAACGAACGTGCTTATTATGTCGCCACGCCCCGCACCCGACCCTATCAGCTAGTTTTTGCGAAGACCCGGAACACAGCCTGGAAGGCTTTTTGGAGATTATCTCGACGGAAATAATCCCCCAAGCACGTCGAACTGCCTGCGTCGCGGGCTGCTTGACGTTCGCTCTCTTCGTTCGTTTCCTGCGAAGGCCGAGCGGGCAACGAGCCCTGGTATTCCCTGGTTCACACAGTGGAAGATAACATACAAAGGGTAAGCATCCTTAACAGGCGAACAAAATAAAAACTTCCAAGAAAAGCCGGCGAACTCCGAATGCAAAATGCAGGTGGGGGTCACGCTGACCGGGTTTCCACAGCTCAGGCGAGCGCCAGAAATTTCTGGCTGATAGGGGTCGCTCGATTCGCAAAATGGCGGCGGCCAGAGCGCTCTTTTTGGAAAGGTCTATAAAAAGAGTGGACACAACGAGTTTCCTAAGCGGTGCAATGGCGTAGTGGTTAGGGTGTCCGCTTCATACGCAAGTGGACGCGGGTTCGATCCGCGGTGGGCCTACTTTTTTTTTTCTTTTTTCTCAAACATTTTGTTTTGTTGAGGCATTTGGCGATATTTACGACATTTCCTTTTTTGCAATGAACAGTAAAAAAAAAAAAAAAAAAAAAATCGAATGTTGTCGAGAAATTTTGCAGAACTAAATGGTACCGGACTCCCTTTCCGGAGGTGCGATCGGGGACAGCGGGGCTTGGATTGCCGGCTGGACGCCGCGAAGCGGCGTGTACTGGTTACGCTTAGTAATTAGCAGCCGATACTGTCGCCGCGAAGCGGCGTGAACGCAGGCGGGGGGCTGTGTTAACGAGCGCCCCAGTGATTCACGCGCCGTTCGAAAAGGGTGGCCCGAGCGGCATGATCTCTCGGAGGAGTGCGTATAGCCATTTCCGCGCGAAGCGCACTCCGGAGTGCGTATAGCTTTACTCTTTCATAAAACGCCGTTTCATGGAAGATCTGACTGAATGTTGTAGTTCATGGTCATGCACTGAAAAATCATACCGAAGGGTCCATATCATATGAGCGCATTACGTTTTAGTGAATAACTTTTAGCGAATTTACGTTGCGGATGAAACGCCGACGGCGGCGTGCAGCGCGAGTGATGGGATACGATTTGCTGTTTTGCTAGCCTTTTGCTGCGGTTTTCCAGCGTGTTGTAGACACGTTTTCTACTCGTTCGTCGTCATTCGCCGTCATTCGCCGAAGAAACTTTTTAAGATTCAGTGCACCTTGGCACTTGCCATTGTGAACACGTTGAAAAGTTTACGAAAGCGCAGTACTGCAGGGTAAAGGCACAACTCGTCAAAAGCAAGTTTCGCCGGTCTGGCGGCGTGTTCAAAGCTTTCTTGGCACGCCGAAGTGCCGTGTCTCTGTGCCTTCGCACGCTTGGATACCGACCAAGAATCGACGCCGTGTGAATGTGTTTAGCGAGTGCAATGTGCATGAGGCTGTATGTGCCTCTGGATCAGAGTCTCACTTTACTTTGACGACCGTATACTTGCGGCACTCGCGGTCCAGAAACGAGCATATTCCAGCGTCCAGAAGCGACGGACGAGGGGGGGAAGGTACGTCTTCCCCCCCCCCCCCCCCTAGACGATTTACAGAATACTGTGCAAAACAGCTCCCCATCACTGATCAGTGCTGGCTCATTATCAAACTACTTAATTGCACTTGACGTTTGAGCGCGGCTCGCCTAATTGTGATTGGTCAACAGATTGCACACGACCATATGGGCTGCACTTCAAAGATTTCCATTCTAGCCTTCTTGTACTTTTGCCTTCGAAAACCCTCCTTGCTCCACAGCTTTGCTCTATTCGTGCTCCCATGTGATCCATTAGAGTAGATTTGGAACATAGCCATGGTTAATAGTACATAAGAACACATACAGATCTCCCCCCCCCCCCCTTTCTTTATTGATAGCAACTCACCGGAACAGCTAGACGATCCTGAACTCCGTGGCCAATATTTGCAAAATGATCTAAGGGCATCTATGCGCAATACACATTCAGAACTTTAGTGTGGCGTCGATTCTTGATCGGTACCCAAGCGTGCGAAGGCACAAATATGCAGCATTCGGCGTGCCAAGGAAGCTTTGATCATACCACGAGACCGGCGACACTTTCTTTCGACAAGTTGTACCTTTGGATACGTACGACTTCATGCACATTGCACCCGCAAAACACGTACACACAGCATAGATCCTTGGTCGGTATTCAAGCGTGCGAAGGCACAGAGACACGGCACTTCGGCGTGCCAAGGAACCTTTGAACACGCCGCCAGACCGCCGAAACTTGCTTTCGAAGAGTTGTGCCTTTTTTCTGCGACACTGCGCTTTCAAAAAAATTTTTCACGTGTTCACAACGGCAAGTCTTAACGGTACACAGTCTTAAAAAACTTCGGCGAATGACAACGAACGAGTAGAAAACGTGCTTACAGCATGCTGGAAAACCGCAGCAAACTGCTGGCAAAACTGCAAATCGTATCCTGGCAAGGTTGCGTCCGGTGGCTGCACTTGCGGGAGCGGGAAGCGCGATCCAGCAACTGTCATTGACATCAGTGGCAGGGCGCATATTGTTAGAGCGTATGAATGTGTAGGCATTGCAGTTAGAAATTGTGGGGGGCGGGGGGGGGGCAATTGTGTACGCGCAGTCGAAGCAGCCCTCGCAACGGCGCTCACACCGGTTTGGCTGGCTCGTGAGGTAGACGCTGCCGCCATACACATAAGCAGCGGTTACAACAAGATTCTGAGGCATCAGTGGCAGTGCCAATCGAGCAAGCAGTCTAAAAAATAGAGTATGTCAATCATTTGTTCCTTGCTGGAGCAAGCTTCCAAAGCCTTCATTTGGCACCGCGAAACTGCTTGGAGTCAGTTGGGAACAAATTCTACAGTCCAAAGAGAACCCGCGCCTTCCTCTGACGTCACTTTTTCGTTTTTGCTAGTAGAGACTTTTAGTTAGAAAAACATGGTGAGGACCAAAATTAGAAATTCAATAAATTTTCAAGAAAAAAAAATATTTTTACGTAATTTGGGGTACTATTATAGTGATGTTTGTTGATGAGTGCAGCAAAATTTCAAGAAAATCGGGGACCATGAAGAAATCGCCGAAGTGCTCCCGGGTGATTCACGTGCTGTCCGAACCCGAAATTTAAGTTCCCGCTCATTGCCGAGCAGCCTATCCGGCATCAGCATCTTGCTAGGGATTTATCGCCTGTGCCATAAAAAATATGCCGGCGGGGCAACCTACGCCCTAAACAAGACGCATCACGTTGCTTCACGGTCCATGTGGAAAATCTAACCAGCAGAGTTCTTATTTCTTGTAGTTTGATAGTAGTAGCCTTAGACCTATAGCGGAAGCCTCTAAACATGTAAAATGCCCTAATTTTCCTCAATTCAGTACAACGAAATTGATTAAATGGCATCAAGCGATTCAATGAAACGGGCATTGAATGAAGTGTCCAGTTCCTACAAGTTGCACGTGCCCGCTTGTATTGCCTGCCCCGGGTGCCAGCCGCAGCGTGTGCGGGTCCTAGCATGTTCACTATTCAGTCTCTGGCTGCGTCTCGTGAGTGACAACGAGCTCTTTTTTCAAAACGTGATGCGAACAAATTTTATGCATTTCGGGTCAAGTACAGACTTCTTGCATCTTGCTGAAAGTTGAGGGCGACTGTTCCGCGAGATGTGAGCATATCTTTTAAAAATTTGTTTAACAAATTTCTTTACCTGGACATTAAAAACATCTGGCAGTGCTTGCAGTGGTCACTGCCGGGCTCTCCAATTTGCAAAAACTGACTGAAGTAGGTTCTACTCTTCCATTAGAATGCATATTGATTCCACACTTATTTTTTATAGCTACCACGTCGTGCACTTCTTAGATGAAGGAAGCACATACATTGTCGCTGACTGGTGGCTGGTGAAGGACAAGAAGGGAAAAGTGATCTCCTCCTACTTCCCACCTTCCAAGAACAAGCAGCAGGTCCGGAATGCAATTTTAGATAAAGAAAAAATTACAAAGGCATGGTCAAATCACCCTGTGAGGATTCTTCAGTCCTACAGTAAGTTGGCAATTTTTTTTTATTTCGGCGTATACTTGAGATTATTTTTTCTCTTGCAGCCAATCTGCAGCACGCCTTTGACAATGTGGATCCAGCTGCCTATACATCCCATTTGGACTCGGATGATCCGGTTCCGGTAACCCCAAGACGGGAAAGGGCAAGGGTGCCTGCTAGCCCTGAAAACAGTGACTCGGATGATGCATCGAGAGGAGGGGCTTGTCGCGGTATAAGACTCTGCATTATAAATTTGTATTCAATGTGAATAAGAACTTGCATGAATAACTTCAGCTTGTTAAGCAATTGTAAAATTGCTAATAGTTATAGTCGGTGACAGATCAGAAACAAAAAGCAAGGAGAACGAAGGCTGGAAAGTAGTAAGCAGACTGCCCCTTCATTTTTCTAGCTCTTTGATCTTGATTTATCACTGAGTATAGGCTAGTCTGGTTAGTGCAAGCTGATTGTAAAATTAAATACTTAAGACTGAAAGAATAAAAGCATGAAAGATGTATACAGACAGCCAAGAGCTTTCAGTTAGCAACAACATTTAATTCTGGGTGGAAAAATTTGTGCAGTACCCGAAGTAACCAACAGTGGTTGAGCCTTGAGCGAGCCTCCCCCCGGAGCAACATGGAACTGTCCAAATCGTGCGTGGTGCCCCTCTCAGCCACTGCATTGGCTGTACGCTCTGATTGGGTCTTTCATATTGCTAGAGATTGTACCACATCAGTTAGGATTGCTTGTCCCTTAAACCTTGCACCCAGTCTAAGTACACTAGCTCGCCAACCAAGCTTCCAGACATGAATGTCCCCAGCACAGGCTAGCATGCACTCAGGGAAGCTCTCTCAGCCAAAAAACGGAACAGGTGTTGACCTCGGGGTCCCCTAAAGATGCCAGTAGTCTACAATGCCATTTGATGGTCTTCGATTTCTGACTTTGTTGGACTCATCTTTCATACTTTTAAATATTATATGCATAATATATTTTCACTTACATGGTGCAATTGATTAAAAAACAAATTTAAAAAACTTTTTTTCAGACAACGATCCATCTGACTTGTACGGTAGTTTTGTTTTATAGTGCTTCCTTCCACACAACTTTATGGCCCAACTGAAAAACACCACTTCCGCTACTTGCAACGAGTCTGCAGTGTCACACGGCTGCATGCTCTGGCCCAAAGAGCGCTGCAGGTATACACTTCAGCTTTTTGTTCACCATTCTAAATAGCCCGGGAAATGACACTCTGAAGCAAGAAATAAAAAAATGCCTTAGTTGTTGACCGTACTTCTGATGCAAGAAAATTTGGGAACATGGTACTTAGATATGCTCTAGCTTTTGGTTAAAGGCCAACCAACAAGCAGAAAAGAAGGAAACTCTTCCTCGATTCCTCCGTTCCATTTGAGAAAGAGGGAGACTCTCCTCCTCTACCGGGAGTAGTTCAGACATCCGCACCTGTGTGGAGAGGAGGGGAAAAGTGGGCGAGTGGGAATGGAGAGAAGGAAACTGGGAACCGGTTTTTTCCCTGGTAGAAGACTATTTTGTAGGTCGGACTTTAAGCATGGTGGCATATTTTTGTCATCAAAATTTTGCGTTCTTGGGTGTGATATTACAAAAGCAGTCTTCTTGAATTGAGTGTCAGTCCTCTATTCCTTTTAATAGATTGCCGGACAACTGTCAAAAATGGGGGTATAAGTTCAGGAGTCTTGGTTGCAGGGAGCCATTGCAAAGGCACGCATAGAAAGCCCTACTTAAATACGTCTAGATTTTTTTAGCATTGTTTTGTGTATCTGCAAAACAGTTTCACTGTTCATGATTCAGTCTAAGCATCTCACTAATTTTTTTGTTTCAATGTCTTTTACTTCAGGTCCAGTCCTGCCAGTTTATCCTGTATCAGGTTAGTTTGGGCTCATTATGAAATATCTCAAACTAATGTAGCTGGTCATACTTTCAGAACACATTCACTTTTGCTCTTGGTTTTATCTCCTGTGCACTCCCGCTTACTTGAGGCACTCTTTTTGTTTTTTTTCCAGCTTCCTTTAGGGCTGAAGAGAGCCGTATTTACCACAACATGGATGCTGGGAACTTCTCCGAGAGGAGTGAGTACATTTACAATGTCTTGGTTAGTTAAACAGCACAAAAACAGAGGACGAGGGTTGGCTGAAGTGTGATGTCGTCGCTTACTTTCAATAATTTCTCCAACTGTATGCACCACCAAAAATAATTTTGTAATTTCACGGCGTCCACACATGGCAGTTGCTGCGGAATGTCGCCCATGGCATTCAGCAGAGACTCGGCAGCAATTTCAGCAGGGTCAAAGGGTCATATCTTTTAATTTATGCATATTTGATCAACTTTTTATCAGTCTATACTTTGTCAACATTCATTACACAACCTTCACTGTTGCAACGCTTCATTGACACCGTGACAGCAAGCTATGATTCCAAGCAGGCCGCACTTTGCAGTCGCCCCCCTCGCTTTGCAAGGGGAAAAGTAATCTTTTTTTGGGCTCGATCGTTGAGCGAGCCTCTTTAGAAAGTTATGCCATCAATCAAGAAGGCAGAAATGGGGCACTGGTGGCCGACCATCTGCAACTCCACTGGATGAGTCTAGCGACATTCATGTTGCCAAAAATTTTCAAGGTTCTCATGAGTAGGAAGGTTTCTATGAAATGTAAGATGTTTCTGTAAGAAACACGCCTTCGTCGACGAAGCATTTTGTTGGTGAAACAGTTTTCGATGAACTGATTGCTACCAGGGCGGTCTAGACAACACCTTGTAAAATATCGAGGCCTGCATGCTTCAATTTTGTTGTTGCATAGGTAGGCCAGTTGAGTGCACAAATTGAACATGAGTACTGCATCTGCGTTCGACAGGGTTCGTGGTAGAGATGTCACTAACCTCTTAATGTTTGAGTTCAAAAGGGTTGTGAAGTGTGCAACTTTCAAACTTTGCCAATGTTCGAATTTACTAAGTTTGAAGCTTTCGAGGTTTATAAAAGTTAGCTCAACAGTTTCTTTTTTTTTTTCGCAGTTTGTTTTAAAAACATTCGAGAATTTGAAATTTTTTTGGTTTGAATCAGTCAAAGATATAGAATTTTGTTCGAAGTATAAGTTTGTGAAGTTAGAAGTCTTCAAATCGCACAAGGGTCGTAGTTTTGTAGTTTCAAGTAATTTTTGTTAATTTTCTGATGTGTGAGCTCTGTTTAGCAGAGTTCAAACAAAGCTAACAAAGAACAAAGAGATGTCGGGCTCAGCCGTTGTCACCACCAGATAGCTCGCTGCGCTTGCAGCGAGCTATCTGGGCTGATCGGCGATCGGCCACATAGCTTGCCTCTTGGAGCTTCGAAACAGTCTTCTGCAACAGCGATTGTTATCTGCACAGTTTGAGTGTGGTCGCATGTTATTTGCAGCAGTTGCTATGTGTTCCAAACAGTTAGATACTGATTGAATCCTGTTTTGTATCTTAGTTTGACGAATCCGTAGAAAAACTACTAAAGTTGTCGAATTTTTCAATATGATAGGTTGGGAAATTGTTATATATTTCAGTGTCATAAGTTGGAAAGGTTGAATATATTTTAATTCTTGAAGCTTTAGATTCAGAAAATATTTGCTTCATTTCTAGTTGTGTGTGTGATCAGTGAGAACATGAGTCCCAGCCCAGTGCTGATGCAGCACTCGTGGTCTATGTGCTTTGTGCTGGTCTATTTGTCGACAAATTTGAAGCAGGTCAAAATGTCAAACGCTTTAGGTGGGGGAAATGAGAGAGGAGGTGCCTGCAAAACTAGATTTTCTGAGGGGCTTTAGACCTGGCAGCGGCTTAATAACCAGTTTCCTGCATCTAATACCCGTGCCACACGGGCAACTCAAATGCTATTTACAACGAATGACATTTGAGCGGACGGCCAATCAGCGCACGACAGTCCGGGCGTGGCGCATTCCACGCACGACAGATTGCGAGCTGATTCGCCGATCACACAAATCTCATTCGTTGTAAATTGCATTCAAGTTGCCCGTGTGGCACGGGTATTATTCCCACAAGTGAGGAGCTAAGCCTAATTGGTGTGTGGTAGAGTAGGACCAGATTGATACATTCCCGGGTATGTTTTCCTCTATCATACATTTCTTTTACCGCAGTCCCATGAAAAATATATTACCGGTGTTCTGCTGTACTCTGACCTATAGACAGTCGCAAGCAGGGCAACTGGCCACCACCATTTTTTTGGTTGTGCCAGCAAGCACATGCAATTGCAAACCTGCCAAAGCCACTTTCATGTGCATGCTGCTCATGCTGGTGCCATCTGCACGTGCATGGGGCACCGGTGTGTGATGCCATGCCATCATGTTCTTGTGTACATGCTTTTTGGTAGAGGGAAATGACATTATTTTCAAATGCTTTCTAGCACACCATGATTCCGGGATATTTTGCACTTGTCCTTGGCTTATAATGGAGAGCTACCAAATTTTACCCACATGATGAGAGAACTTTTTTAATCATTTTAAAGCTACCAAAGGCATGTGAACAACATCCTTCCCTTCTGCCAAATAAGTTTGCATGTGTAAAAATGGTGGCAAGTCTGTGGGCCCCACTTTAGAAATGCAGTTGCTTGATAACTAGTTTTTTTACATCTTGGCAACTAAGTTGAGAAATCAAAATAGCATTTTTTTGTGTTCTGGAATGTGCTACACTGACGCGCAACTCCTGGTGATCACTTGCAGCAGCTTGGAACAACCCAGAACAACTAGGGACAGAGTTTTCATTTCAGAATGGCCTCATGCCTTCCCAAGGATTGGGTAAGTGATAAAATTAGATTAAAATGGTCTTGTCTAATTTTAGTTTATTTCTAGCCCGCCCACTTCATGATCCGGCCCAACTCATAGACATGATGAGGGTGCAGCAGGAGATGTTGAGGGTGCCGCAGGAGATGTTGAGGTCTGTACAGGAGATGTTGACATCCCAGGAAAAGAGCCATGTTGGTGAGAAATTATTTAGATCATCTTCAACCTCGTTGTGACCAAATGCAACCATTATCTTGCACCCTTTGATATGTAGTTGTCTAGCTTATTGAAAGACATTGCTTTATGCTCCTGAACAATTTCTAGAGCCCAGTCACCAACTGTGCTTCAGGCTGCAACACATAAATGTAAAACATGAACTAGAGATGTTGCATAACTCACTAGTATCAAGTCGAAAGGTATAGAAATTTCCCAACTTTCCTGAGGTTCGCTTTACAAAGTTTTCAAATTTAACTCTTCCAAGATTAGAATTTGATATTAATGCTTTCGGCATTTGAGTCCGACGGTTTGAGACTTTCTCGAGGTTGATGCTCGAAAAAGTAAAGAAATTCAAATTCCTTTGTTTGTGAAGTATGAGGTCTTTGAGCTTGACGAAGGACCAGGTAGCCCAGTTTGTTATAAGTTTTCATGAATTCGTCTTGTCGTATACAATAGTAGTTTCGCTCATTTTGAAGCTGAGACATGACCTATATTAGCAGAGTTCAAACATAGGGTGTAGTATACACTAGCTGGGGGTCAAGGCAAAGCTGGCAGAGCCATTGCTGCCTTCAACTTGATAGCTAGATGTGGCAAATTGTTTCAGCAATATTGCTTTCAATATAGCAGATACCGGAACAGGAACTATGGCTGCGAAAGGCAGCATACTTTCGTGATGTCGGAGACATGGCAAACCATGCCTTATGATTGGTCGTCTGATCCTCAGGAGGATCACGTGAAGTTGCACATTTTTAGTGCCGATCGAAGCTGTGCTTGTGTACTCTTCTATTGCATGTGGACACTGTTGAGCGAAGTTCACGACATCATTTGTAGACCTCTCTCCAAGAAGTAAAATACACAAAACGCGGCAATGCTTGTGAGGTCGTGGCTCAATGGAGGCTGCTCAAACACCTTAGTATTTGCTGCGGTATTGATTGCACCTCATGTCGCCCGCTAGAGGTGGCGGATGTTAGCAAGTTTGCTCCTTTCAAAGTTTGCTGGTCCTTTTAAATATATATATAGATGTAATTAAATCATAATATTTGGTGTCTGGTCTTCCTAGATGATACTGAACGCAAAACAAATTTTGCGTTTGGTGTGTAACCGAAATTTGCATCTATTTGGCTAGAGTGAAAAAGGTGGGACAGCACAGCATAGTTTCTCTTTGCCAAGAAGTGGCACAATGGGGGGATTGGCCACCATACAGTTTCTTAAGTCAATTTATAAAAATAATGATGATTGTGACCGTTTAACTAAGGCCTTCTGTTGGATAAAGAGAAAAACGGTGTTCAGTGAGATGGCCTAGTCATAAAGAATGCCAACGGCACCGAAAACTGCATGATTAGGTACACTCGTCATAAACCAGAAAATGGCAGATAACTTGTGACTTACAGGGCTTGCCGCAAACCATGATGGAAGTAAAACAACTGCTTAAGTTAAAAAATTGTTGAATTCTGTGACTTAATATGTAATTTGTTTGTTTTTTTTTGTTTTCCCCCATTCCAAAATAACTGCCTTGGTGGTTAATTTTCAGGATTGATTGCTAAGACCGAAAATACGGGACCCTATTCTAACACTTCTTAGTCGCCTACTATAATAACATTGATGTTTAAAAAACCTCCGACATGCCAAAAAAAAAATAAAAAAATTTCATGCTAGGCGTTGAAACGGCATGTCAGGACATTACAAAAAAATTGTTTCACTATAGAGTTGCGTAGGTTTTTTTTTTTATAAAAAAAAGTAAAAATATCAGGCCCAATTCAAAGTTCCCGCCAGTGCACTGTGATGTAATAGTGTACCGCAAGGTGTCGGGGCGGTCAGAAGGGAGGCATCGACCTACGTCACTAAAAGTAGGTTCGCAGGAAGTCGCGTGAGTTTCACCCCTCGTTCTCTCCGCGACCATGCCTAAGACTTTTTTTTTCTGCTCTTTGTACGAGCGATTGTAGAAAACAAAGTTTCAGTTCCACTAGCTCTTTATCGCTACACCATTGGTTAGTTTGCATGCTGTAAAAAAGTGAGGACGAAGGGTCAGTGGATCGACGTGATGGAGGTCAATGATGAAAGCGTTGCAAGTACAAGCAAGTGTATGAGTGCGTGCTGCCAGTCCGATGATACAGAGCTCTGTGGGCACAAAACAAGCTATCAAGTGTTGAAAAAAAATATTTTTAGAACGCTCGCAGAAATTAGGATGGCTAGTGTATGACACGCCCCATTGCATTGCTGAAGGTTCGGACACCGAGGTCGTTGACTCATTGTATACTCTCCAGGCTGAAGATGGCTGCCGTCTCTCGGAAATGCATGCAGTGTGACGTCTTCTTCAGTTGCTGAAATACCGGGACAGTCCCTCACACTGCACCTTCTAGGCACTGTAGTTGATCACGTCAATTCACTGACTCCCCTTCTTCTACCTTTACAGCAACATTAAGCGATGAAAAGCAAATAAAAGAAACCTTGTCTGCTTGGATCGCTCGTGGAGGTGTGGAGAATAACAAAAAAAGTTTTTAAAATATTACACGCGCTTGCGGTAAGCACGAGGAGGGATACAACTCGCGTGACTTCCGGCGATGCCTCCCTTCTGACCGCCCCGACACCTTGCGGTACACTGTTACGTCACGGTGCACTGGTGGAAACTTTGAATTGGGCCTTGTATTTATATTTTTTATTAAAAAAATCACACCTAAAATGAAACAATTTTTTTGTAATGTCCTGACATGCCATTTCAACGCCCAGCATAAAAAAAACTATTTTTTTTTTGGCGTGTAAGAGGTCTTTTAAGGAAAGTCTGCTTTGATACGCTTTTAGTGTCTTGTAAGGGACAGTTTTGTTGAGGACATCATACGGTCTTTTGGCAGATTCTACATTGCTGTGTTCTTGGTAGAAAATTTACTCATATTCCCTTGGATGCCTACTGAACCAAAGTATTAATAGACTTGCCAAACTGCGTTTTCTGCAGCTTTCCGGGATTGCGTCTTGCACAATCAAGCGGACCTGCTGGCGCAGGTGAACAGTTTAAGGCAACAGCTGGGCAACAAGAGCCTCGTGAAAGTGGTTTATTTGCCCGACGACTGCCCTTCCCTGCCCGTCAACAGCCTGGATGACCTGAGGGCCTTGAACGTGTACCTTGAAGCAAGAGACAAGCTTCAGCACATGGTATTGTTGTTCAATAATTTTTACACATCCGGGATTTTCTGTGCGTGTTTTCAAGAGAGAACGATACACTGGTTAGTCATAAAGCAGGGCTTTGAGTAAACTTTTGGCCCAGTTTATTATGTTTATAAATTTAAAGGTATTCAGCACAGTAGGCACTCCAGCAATTCTACATTTCTGCATGAAATGATTATGATGTTTCTTGCTTTTTTTACGTTTTTTTAAGTTAACTACACAAGCTCCATCACTCAAACTTGTTGTTTGATTTCTTACATTTCAACGGTCACCGGCAATCAAACTTTATCTCCCATTAACTTTATTTTGTAAGGTTCAGAGCAGTTCACTCTGCATTTACTCCTGCCATTATTTTTGAAGCGTATCATGGGACAGTGCATCACGGCCCACTTCTACCATCGTGGTTTTTCTGTTGGTCACATGTTATGAGCCGCTGCTGTTTACCTAAATTGATACACTTTACTGCGATGGTGGTGTTGAACTCCTGTCTACGGGGTGGTGTCTGACTTCTGTCTACGGAGCGTTAAAAGTGAGGTACTTTCTGCATGAGAACACTGGGGAAGGGGTTCTGAAAAATGGGAGCAGCAAATACCACGGAACGGGATGTGTGTAGTCTCCAGAATGCTCAACAGAATTATCTCTGAATGTGTCGATTACAATGCGGCTGTCACCATCTTTTTCGTATCTCTCTTGCTTGCATTTATTTCAAGCAATTTTGGTTTTGTTTTCATAGTTCATTTTAAACGGGGAGAAAAGCGGTCATGTATTACAATCTCGGCTCCCTGTCAAGGTATGAAATGTGCGCCAGGTTAAAGAAATGTTTATTCTAGTTCATGTCTCTTTTTGTGTTTGCCATCTCAAGCAATCCTTTCTTTTATGCTTCACCCTGGAAAAAAACTTGTTTATTAGAATTAGAGGTCATGATTCTTTCACTTAGTAAATACAAAACTATTATGGAGATTTTTTATTCCAAAATCAGTCATATTAGCCACTGTTATAGATAGGGTTCTGTGTTTTCTGTGTTTTTTGTTTCCTCAAAATTGGGGGTATATTTTTGCTGCGTTTAATTCTTAGCTACAGTTTCAGTGTTTTTTGTGTAAATTGTGTAACCAATTTACACAAAAACACTGAACCTGTAGGAAAAAAAAAATTAACTTGTAAAAAAAATACACCCAAATTAAAAAAAAAATAAAAAATCATCGAAAACATTGAACTTTAGTTGTAGAAGGGGATGTCGTGAACTTGCCCAGGTTCAAGTTCGACCAAGTACGAATTTTTCAAACTTTCCACTTAATGTCCGACAAAAGTTTGAAGTTCAACTTTTGTGCGCATGCGCAGAAATTTAAAAAAAACACAGTGGACTCCACCTGGTGGAGACTAAGTGCAGTATTTGTTGCGTGTATTGGCATCACTGGTTCACATAACTAACGAAAGCATTAAAAGCACATATTTTCGCTTTTATATGGTGTAAACATTGGTAACCATTTTATAAAATATTAAACAAGCTACTTTCTAAATTATTTGTTTCCCAAAATTTGAAATATTTGTGTAGAAGTGGGGCAACACTGTCCAGAAGTCAAACTTCTTCGAACTCTAGTGAAAGTTTGCAGGTCCGACAAAAGGTTGCGGCACCCCTAGTTATAGATAGGGTTCCGTGTTTTCGGAGTTTATTTTTTACTTGAATTTAGGGGCATCTTTTTTTCGGGGTTTAATTTTTCTCTCAGATTCAATGTTTCTGTGTAAATTTATATAAGTCAAAACCAATGTACACAAAAAGCACCGAATCTGTAGGAAAAAAGTAACTCCTAAAAAGAATACCCCCAAATTTAAAAAAAAAGGAATTCCAAGAACACGGAACTTTAGTTATAGATTGCCATAATTGAAGTATACTGACTGGCGACATGTCTAGGCTTGGCAGTGCTTGCATGTTGTGGTTAATGTTTTTATAAACTGATTTCACGCTTGTATGTAGGTTGATAAAAAAAGTATAGATCATGAGGAACACTGTATTTAAACATTGGTCTTCTCGAGGATGTTAGTATATTGAGTGCAAGCACAGATCCAGTTACAGGGCGCAAACCAATATCCCGCTTCACTGAGACAAGAAAAGTGCCGTTGGCATTCCCCCAGCTCTAAAAAAGCCAGAGTCAAGTTCATCTGCCAAGTGTGCAATGTCCCACACTGCGTTGCATGTCTCGATCTGTTTTGCAAAGTTCCACGAGAAATTCCTTTACAAAACAGTTCAACTGTGCAGTGGGGCAAGTGCTGTCCCACGTTTAGAAAAGCTTCCAAGTGGTTTGTGCGACACAAACTGTCTCACTTGTTTTGATCTAAGTATTCCATGCATTGTGCCAATGTTGTTGTGTTCATGCGTCCACTATGGGGATATTTACTTAACGCCATATTCGTGCACTCTTGCCAGTGCATGCTCAGAATGAGTCCACATCTATAGGGTGCGAAGACAAGCAATCTTGATAGTGTCGAATGCATGTCGCAAAAGGGCTGTGGAAGCTTACCTTCTAACAACTGAGCACTCTGCTATGGCCGGCAGTGAATACCCCCTATTGTGTGCACAGGCCACTGGCGACTTTACATGGTCACCAATTTTTACAGCGGAGCTGTTATAAGCTCTAGGGTCTGGGAAAAAATGTGTCCTCACATGCCGACAGAAAACTCTCCATTGGTCGTGGCAAGTGTGAATAAATAAAAACGAAGAGGGGTCAAGTATAAATGAATAAAAAATAAAAAGAGGGGGCAACCAGCATGAGTCGGGCTTCCTTGCCTTTTTTCGATACTGAGGTCCTGATCCCTTGTTATCATCTCTAGGCATCGTCCTTGAGGTCACCCTAGAAGTCGTCCTTGAGGTCGTCTTAAGCATCATTTTCGAGGTTCTAGAAGTCGTCCGAGACCTCGTTCTCTAGACGTTGTCCTCTAGGCATCGTCCTTGTGTAAAGACCACAGCTTGGCTTGTCCTCCATCTTCACGTGAAGTGGAAGGGCTCTAGAATTTTTTCTATTGCTCACATAAGGTTAAATATATGGTGCCATAACATATCCACAATTTTCTACCTAGTATATGTGGGGGGGAGAGCCTACTGCTAATGCTTCACTTGTCTTTTTTGGACATTCCCAGGTGGATTACTACAGCCAGAAGGGAGGCACCGACAAAAATGCCGACACGCGGGCCTTGCTGACCTGCCTTGTCCACAACGATGTGGCTGCACGTTGCAGTTGGAAAGGGTCAAAAGGGCGCAAGGAGCCTTTGATGAACTGAAAAATATAATGACCCTGTTGCTCGGTAGGTTCCACTATTGGTTATTTCTTATCCAAATGACAGGTTCAGAAAACATCTACAGTCGAATCTCGTTAATTCAACCTCTCTTAATTTAAACTTGTGAATAATTCAAACTAACATGCAGGTCCCATCCTCTGCATCTCTATGGGTGGAAGCTCCTGGTAGTTCAGTGAATAGATTGCAATATCTCCAATCTTCTTGAAAATGGTCAAATAGAGTGATGATGTTCAGTTAATTTCATAAATATTCCATGACTCTTAGCTTGGGGGGTGGGATTATTTATGCCCATAAATCTTAAAGGGACAACGATTTTAAACTTTTCTAGAAAGTGTGTTTCGGATGCCTTGACATCATGGCGTGCTGTTAAGTTTGGTATAAAATTTTGTAACTGATCTTCGTGCCTGCAAATAAATTGACTATACCGAAACTAACCGTCCGAGTGATGTCATGTGGAAGTAGTCGTGCTCACATGTCACATTCCTACATCAAACAAAGCAAGGAGCTCGCACAAATCTTGTTAGTTCCGCACACCTGGGCCAGTGCTCGCTTCGCTCCAGGTATGATTTTTCTCAAAACTCAATGCATCGCTGCCACAATGCATTAAGGGAACTTTAGTCTTTCTGCTTGTGCGACAACGTTGCTAGAGCTGTGCACATGTAGAGCACCAGACAGCACGATCCCTCTCGTGCACTGCAGTCTACCTCCTGTGAACTAAACTTGTGGCTGTGTCACAGGAGTTTATTAAGATTGGTCTATTCATTTGTGCGACATGCAGGTGTCGGTTCAGGATAAAACTTTGTCAACATTGCATGGGTCATGCTTGAGGCTTGTTTCAATCGTCAAATGGAGTTTCCAAATCGTCTTCATTGTCCAGTCTTGTTAGCGTTTCTTCAATGTTTGTACATTTTTAAAATTATCTACTAGTTTGTTCTTTACTTTTGTTGCAGAGCTGGTGTTCTTGCACGTCTGCAACTGGAATTAATTGAATATCTTGTTCTGTGATTTCATTATAATTAGTTTTGCAGATAATTTTATTTTACCGAAAAAGAAAAAAAAATATGTCTTAAGAGTTTTGATGAAAGCTTTCAATTCTAGTTCCGGAGACGTACGAGCACTATATATCTCTCTGCCTACAAAAGTTAACAGCTCTGCAACCAGTAAATGTTTTTAAAAGGGTACGAATGAGAAGTTAACAAAAAGAAATATCAATGCACAATGGAAAAAAGTTTTAGTTAATTAACTTTTTTTGTGAAACCAAGATATATCCTAATAATGTTTAAACACTGGGCTAGTTGGTAGGTGCTATATATGACTAAATAAAACCGCAGAAGAAGATATAAAAGACACACCGGATAGAACATGTCTATCTGGTGCTTCTCTTTTTATACCTTTTACGCTGTTTTATTTCATTATGTACAGTCGAACCCGATTATGTCGAACTTGCACAAATCCGTCTACGAGTTTGATATAGCGGGTAATTGTATATAAAAGTTTTAATATACCTGACAAGGAACAAGCACGCCCCATTTAGAAAAGTAGGTTACTCTCGAAGGGTTGAGTGGTTGAGGGGTTGAGTGTACATAATGACACGCACCCTCCGCAAAAGAGATTTTTTTCCGTCCAAGGGGTCGACGCAGCCGCCCAAAAGAAAAAAAAAAAAGCCAGCTTTCTCTGCAAGCTGGCTTTCCCCCAACAAGGTCACACAGATTGGGGGAAGCCAGCTTGCAGAGCTAAACGGTGCTCTTGGCAGTTCAATCTATCGGGAGACTGCAATTTTCATTCGATATAACTGCATTTTTCAATATGCATTTTTATTGCAGCTAGTGTCTGTTCACAAATTGTTCGATACAAGAGATAGTTTGAATTAACCGGGTTCGATATAATCGTGTTTGACTGTATGACCAAAATATATCCACTTCAGTCAAATGCTAGATCTTCTGTATGGAAAAGCTAATTTTAGAAGAGATCTTGATCCCTTGCAGTCTTCACTGATATAGGTTATGAATGAAACCTCCAAATTGGCAATTAATGATCCATCAACAGTTTTTTGAAGATGATAGAAATGTCTCTGCACGTCTAATCACTGCATTTTTATGTTGTTTTCTGGCAAAAAATATTGGGGTTGCTGACCCCATTTTGAGCAAATGTTTAGATTTCTAGTGTACCACTAGGAACGGTCACATGAATATTACACATATTGTCACCTTCTGACCTTTTTACTTGCAAAGTACATCCAACAAAGTGAAGCAACTTAGCCTGTTTTGGTCTATCATTAAATGTATGTATAAATGGAGTGCTTTTTTTTCCCTTTTTTTTCTCGGCTGCTGGCAAGGCAAACTATGCAGACTTAACCGAGGCGACAATTCAAGACGTGACGAAGAGGTGGCTCTGGTCGTTTGTCGACCGGGATGGTGGGCGGAGCAAGAGGCGCCATGTGGAAAGTGAAAATGTTCAATAAACATCGTACCAGAAAATTCTCAGCTTATTTGTGTTAACAAGAAAAACCAACTGCCAATTAGTGCATCTTTACATCTGGTTTCAAGTGGTTGACCAGAACTGATATACTTCCAGCTTCCGAAAAATCTGCAGGCAAAATGTCGGGCACAGGCTCATGTCCTGCAGTGCGTCCACAAGTTCATTGCAAGATTAATACCTAACTGCAAGTTGCTTGCCAATGTGTGGCCTCGGCTGTAGGGCGGGCACCCAATCGCAAAGGTACGGCCTATGCCTAGTAACAATGGATCGGCCTGTGTCCAGCTGCATGTCATCAGCCAGTGCCCGGTCAAACGTCTTCGGCTAGCACCTGACATCTAATGTACGCAAATGCCCAGTTGCTTAACTCCGGCCTGCCTCTGATCACAGGACACCGGCCGATGCCCTGTTGCTAAACTTCGGCTTGCTTTTGGCCACACGGCATTGGCCAGTGCCCAGATGCTAACCTTCAGCCTGTGTCCTGACACAAGTCTTCGGCCGGCCTCCATTTGCTTTAACTCCGGCCAGCTTTCAATCGCAGGTGATTGGCCAATGTCCTGCTGCACAACTTCAGCTTGCTTTCGGCTACATGGCATTGGCCAGTGCACGGATGCTAACCTTTGGCCTCTGTCCATACCAAAGTCTTTGGCCGGTCTTTATTTGCTAGCCTTCGGCTTGTGTCCTGCTACAGGTCATTGGCCAGCCTCCAACAGCCAGTCCCCTCAAGTCTTTGGCCAAGGCCCACAGCCATGTTCGGGCATAGTAGTTTGACCGGCCTTCGGCCGGATGAAATGTTTCTGGCCAAAATGCTTCAGCCATTGCCCGGCCGTTCACTTTGTGCTGCCTGGGTCCACACAACCCT